CAGTCGGCCCCTGGCCTTGTTCTGACTGATGATATTGAGCTTTTCCATCTTCTCTTTCCACAGATGTAGTCGATTTGATTCCTGTGTATTCCATCTGGCGAGGTCCACACGTACAGTCGCCATTTATGTTGTTGAAAAAAGGTATTTGCAATGAAGAAATTGTTAGTCTTGCAAAATTCTGTCATGTGATTTCCAGCATCGTTTCTATTACCAAGGCCATATTTTCCAAGTACCGATCCTTCTCTTTGTTGCCAACATTCTCATTCCATCACCAATAATTATCAATGCATCCTGATTGCATGCATCTGTCAGTCTGTCGTTCTGTGGGAGCTTGTGTGTTGCTGTGATGCTGGAAGCTATGCCTGCGGTATTCAAATACCAGCAGGGTCACCAATGCCATATAAGGCTTGGCCCAAATGTCCCCTTCTTAGGGGACTCCCTGGCTTCTCAGCTTAAGATGCTCGATGCCATTTTGTCACCCGACTATGCTGCTGTTGTTGTTGGTAGTTTTCATAGCGTTCATCCCAACTCATGGTGACCCCATGTGTGCAGAATAGAACCTGCTCCATAGGCTTTTTAGGGCTGTGACCGTTCAGAAGCAGATCACCAGGCCTGTCTTCCCACGCACCTCTGGGTGGGTTTGAACCACCAACCTTTCAGCTAATATCGAGCGCTTAACTGTTTACGAAGCGCAGGGACTCCTGCCTTATAATCACTTGCCCATTTACTCATTTACTAATCTTTTCTATCCCAAAACACCAGCTCCCCGGGACAGGCGTCAGGCTGTCCTGCTGGCAGCTGTGTGTCCCGCACGGTGAACAGGCACCTAGTTGGTGCTCCATAACTCTATACAGACTGACTGCTGACTCTGAGCGGCCCCTGCCCCCCTCTGGCCTCGGTTTCCCCATCTCAGCTTCTCACTGCAGAAAGACCCCCGGGGCGGTGCCCCTGGGCGGCCAACCCTGACCTAAGGCTGCTGGAGACACCATTATCACGCCCCAGACAAGGGGGATAATGGTTCCTGGCGGATGCGCCTCCCTCAGCCTTTGTTCCTGACACACCGAGGGCTCCGGGGTCAGGGCACCTGAACCCTCATCCCCCCGCCCCTCCTGCCTGGCCTGGCCACCCAAAAACTCTCCCGTCAGCAATGAGCTTGGGAGCAGGGGAGCCTGGGTAGGAGCGGTGGCGGTGGGGGGGTTGTTCGGAGGGGAGTCTTACTGACTTCTGACCCCACATGGGCCAGCACAGCCTCGCCCCTTCCTCTGGGCGAGGCTGCGGCCCGCCCTGCGGAGTTTGAGGTGTCTGTTAGCTCCCGACTCCCAGCCTGGGCTCCCCGAGGGCTGAGTCCAGGCAGACAGTGAATATCTGGAGAATAAATAATAAGTGCTCATCTCTGCTATTTTACACCCAAAGAACGTCAGGAGCTTGGTGCCTGGAGGCCCTCCCCCAACACCCTGAGCCTTGGTTTTCTCATCTGCACAGTGGGATGAGCAGTAGCCCAGCCCATGAGCTCAAGCAGCTCCTTTCATGGAGGGAAACCGAGGCACGGAGCAGGTGGGGCCAGTGGATGCCCAGTGACCCTGAGTGCCGGCTCAGGCCGATCCACACACGCAGGGACACGGCAGCGTCCTGCCTGGAGCCCCTCGGGCCAAGCGTGGGGCGTGGCTGATTACGCCCTAATGGAGCCAGCACTGAGGGGTGACGTCGCTGAGGGGTGACTTCGGCTGACTGTCAGCCCCTCCATCTGCACCTCCGCCAGTGCCAGGACCTGAGCCGGCAGGACTGCCACCCCCACCCTGCCAGGGGCTGTCTCAGCAGCTCCCAGATGGGATGGCAGGCAGCCCAGGCGGGGCAGGGGATGAATTCTTCCTCGGCTCCTGCTGGAAGCTCTCCTGGGGCCTCAGCACCTTTGTGTGCGCTGCCTCTCCTCCCAGAGCACGCTCCTCTGGCGCCAAATCCCACGGCGCCCCCTCGCACCCACTGCTCCCCCTCGCATCCAGCGCTTCCCCCTGCACCCACGGGGCATCCCCTCACTCTGCTGGTCTGGTTTTTTGTTTTTCTTTTTTCTGTCGTACGTAGGGTCACCATGAGTCAGAACTGGCTCAACAGCCCCCAAGAAAACAGCACAAAGAGAAATGAAGTTCTACCACATGGATGAACCTGAAAACACGCTAAGTGAAATAAGTCAGACCGAAAGGATAAATATGTCTGATTTACTTCCAAAGTAGAACTGCCCCGTAGCGTTTCCAAGGAGCGGCTGGTGGATTCGAACTGCCGACCTTTTGGTTGGCAGCCGAGCCATTAACCACTGTGCCACCAAGGCTCCCGTGAAACAGCTGGAAAAGGCAAATGCATAGAGACAGAAAGGAGGTTAGTAGTTACCAGGGTTTGGGGGAAAGGGAAGTTATTGGGGAGTGGGGAGTTACAGCCTAATGGGGACAGAGTCCCCCCCTCTCTCCATCCCTCCCTTCCTTTGCCTGTTAGACCCTTTCGCCTGTGTCTTTCCTACTAGGTTGTCTTGTTCATTATCGGTTTGTGTTGTGAGCTGCCGTTGAGTCGATTCCGACTCACGGCGATCCCAGGTGACAGAGTAAAACCGCCCCAGAGGGTTTTCAAGGCTGTGACCTTTTGGAAACATCCCCAGGCCTGTCTTCCGGGGCGCCTCTGGGTGAGTTCAAACCGCCAACCTTTCTGCTAGCAGTCGAGCACTGAACTGTTTGTGCTACCCAGGCGCCTAACCTTGATTTGTGGGAATTCTTTATAAATTCTGGATACAAATCCCTTGCTGGTCGCCCACGTGAGCAAATACGCTCCCCACTCTCTCTCTCTCTTTTTTTAAATCATGCTTTAGGTGAATGCGGGTCCAGTTTTTAACTCCTGACTTTATCAGGGATGGCCCTCGCTGATGACTCAACCACCCCGTCCCGAGGAGATCGTGGCCATTTGCCAGAGGCACCTACGGAGGCTCAGAGAGAGGAAGCCTCCAGAGACGGGGACGAGCACTCGGCGGTCCCTGGAACGCCTCCCACCCTGGAAGAGGCGTCTCCGAGGATTCTGGAAGCCCACATTCCGAGGGGCTGCCCCAGGATGCACACACGTGCTGGCGGTTCCAGAAACCAGGCCCTCCCGGGCACCCTGCCTTGGGAGCCTGCTGAGGCTCCGGTCCTGGGCCAGGAGGTTCCCGCTGGTGCTCGGAGGTCCAGCAGGCCCAGCTGGCCGAGGATGGAATGCAGCCCCGCGGATGCCCATCTGGTTCCCATCTGCCCGGCCCAGCGGCTGACTTCAAAGGCTGCCCTGCCCGGCCACTTCCTCTGTCCTGGCCGCCTGCAGGGAGGGGACCATACGGCCCTGCTTCCTCCTGCCCCTCCCACAGCCTGGGGAGCCCCCCGCCAGGCCCAGTCTGTACTGCCCACCGTGGGTCTCCCCTACAACCACACTCAAGTCAGCCACTTGGCGTCCCCAAGGCGCCTCACGGGGCCAGCATCACCGTGTGTCCCCAGCCTCCCCTCCCACAGCCCCAGGGAGCGGTTGGACTTTGCACGACGCCAGCGCGATCACCGCCCGCTGGAGCCCCCACGGCGCCTGCTAACTTCAACACACTGGATCCCACGCTGAGTCCACAAGGACCCGTCACCGCGCCACCCGGCCCCCACCTCTCCCGCCCGTCTGCCGTCCTCACGGATAACATTCTGCAAACATGGCTGGCACAGTCCAGCCTCTTGGCCTTTGCCCGCACTGTTCCCTCCCTCCAGAACTCCTTGTCCGCCTCCTCCATCAGCCGCCCAACCTGTCCGCTCAAGTGTCATTCCTTGAGAGGCCCCAGGGGACACCGTGGAGCACCCCCAAGCTCCCCTCTCTGGGATCGAGCTCCCCTGTGCATTGAACGGCCACCCACCCTACCCGAAGGAGTCCTGGGTGGGGCTGCCACAGGCTCCCCAGCTCCTGGCGTGGAAGCAGCACCCGGCAGACACCAGCCCACTTCCAGGGCCCCGGCCATCATCGGCACCTGTGTCTCGGCAGCCCCCGTTACGGCCCACGGCCCACCTGCTTAAACTGCTCCTCGTAGGTCCAGTCCCCGTGGTCCGGCGGCTGCAGGGGGGGTGCCACGTGGGCAGCTCCCCCGGGATGGGCCGGGCCGGGCCCCTGGCGCTCCTGGCCGCCCAGTCCCCGGGGTACGCCGTCACCACGGAACGGCTGGGGCGGCTGCGCCTTTCGGGAGAACAGGGCACCCGAGCCCAGGCTCGCAGGGCCTGGGGGGCCCAGCCCCTCCTCCTCGTCATCCTCCTCGTCCTCATAGTCATCCTCCTCATCCTCGTCCTCGTCTGCCAGGTCTTCCTCGAGCTCCTCCTCCTCCTCCCAGGTCTGCTTCCTGTGTGGGCAGAGGGCAGGGGTCAGGGAAAACAGGGATATCAATCAGGCCCCCACCAGCTCAGGCTTCGGAGAGCACCACCCACAGCTGATGGCTTAGGGTGCTGGCGGCACCTGTTCTCGTCCCGAGTAGCCCTTTGGTAGAAACCCCAGCCCCTGCCCACCTACCAACCTCACCTCCCCTCCCACCGCATGGCCTTCCTGGCTGGGTCCTGGAAATACCAAGCTCCTTTCTGCCACGGGGCCTTTGCACAGGATGCTCCCACACCAGGCGTGGCGTTCCCCACTCCTCCTTACCCTCCACAGGGCTGTCACCCCCCAAAGAGAGCCCTTTCACCTCTATCTAAAGTTAACTCTGACCCCAGCGACTCCCCCCACGGCACCTCTACTTGATTTTCTCGGCAGCCCTCATCATAACCTCTCTTTGCTTGTTAAACATCTCCCCAGAAAGAAGTGGGCTCTGTGAGGCCACCGGGGTCTCTCTAGGCACTGGGTGAGCCCTCCAGGCCTGGGGGCGGGAGAGGGGCATTAACAAACCAGTCTACACACACTCTCATGGGGCCCTGACCTGAACCCATCCATGAGGGCCTCAGGGCAGCCACTGGCTGCAGGGGGTTGGTTCAGTGTAAATTAATGGAAATAAAATGTAAAATCCAGTTCCTTGGTCACACTGGCCACCTTCCAGGGGTTCAGCAGCCACACGAGGTTGGCGGCTGCCATGCTGGATGGCACAGACAAGGGGGAATGTTCCCGTCTTCCGTGAGGTTCTACCCAACGGCGCTGCCCTTAGTGGGCAGCCCTAGGCGGACGGGGGTTTGTGTCTGGTTCACAGTTAGGCCGTAGCACATCCACTCAGCTTCCCATTTTAAAGGTAAGCAAACCAAGCCTCTAAGAAGGCAACACCCCCCAGGCCCCCCGGATGCCGCCGGACACCCCTAGACGTCCCTGGACACCCCCAGACGTCCTCAGACACCCCTAGA